TTTGGTTCCAACTTGCTCGCTTGCAACTTGATGTTTCTGGAAAGCCTAGCAAGAGCTTGATTGGCTAGCCAAGGTGTGTCTGACTGGAGTTGGAGCTTAAATCTGCAGGACACCGGACCACCAAGACTAAGATTGACAGCCCCTGTGAGAGAGCATAATATGAAACGATCCATACAATATCATCATATTGCACATATTATCACACACAGCAGATGCTCTTCCAGCTGCATCCCAGTACTGGGAAACACCCATACACACTCATTCACACACATACATACGCTATAGCCAATTAATTTTATTCAATTCCCCTATAGCGCATGTTTTTAGACTGTGGGGGAAACCAGAGCACCTGGAGGAAACCCACACCAACACAGGGAGAACATGCAAACTCCACACAGAAATTACAACTTCTAGTCATCTCAAGTTACTTTAGTCAAACTGACTAGGAATATTGGGCTCTATTTTGACGGTCCATACGCAGAGCGCAAAACACAGGGCGCAAACGCTTTCAGGGCGTGTCAGAACGCGTTTTTGCTAATTTAAGGATGGGAAATCTGCCTTGCGCCAAGGCGCATGTTCTAAAAGGGTTAAGTTTATTTTCTTAATGAGTTATAGGTGTGTTTTGAGAATAAACCAATTAAAGTCTCATCTCCCATTCCCTTTAAGAGTCAGCTGCGTCACGCCAAGAGCGCATTCGCTATTTACAGGACGCAAAGTAAGTCTAAGTGGAAAAACTGAGCATTTCACAAGCAAACAGTTAACAGTTGACAGTTTTTTAACAAAAAACTGTTAAACAGAGCATCTACTGCGTGAGAATGAGAGATAAAGGATCTACTTTCACATTCGCTCTTGGATAGGGAAACCTTCACGCACAGACATCAATTAGCCTATAAATAATTAATTTCGTTTGTTAAGCGCAAATATTCGTTTCAAAACTATTTCTAAATTCAGTTCTAATTTCCAGCAAACGAATAAATGAACAATAATGACCAAGTGTGGTCAAAATACTGAGTTATTTCCTAAAACACATGCTGTGCCCCATATGGTCTTAAACCTGACAGGTGGGCAAATCTAAGCTTTTTTTTAATAAAACAAATATAATAAATAACTCTGCGCTGGAGTTTAGACCGGGTTTTGGTCTAATGAAAAATCTATTATAGTTTCTCAAAATAGCAACGCGCCAGCGGTCCGCCTCAGAACGCCTTCCTTTTTAGACCAGAACGCCTATGGGCGTACATATGAGCGCTAATGCATTTGCTATTTAAACAGCGTAGCGCAACGCCTCAAAACAACTCTTGCGCCAAGCTGAAACTACCAAAAGACTACTGCGCCGCGTCTTGCACCACACTGCGCCGGGTGTATGATAGGGCCCATTAAGTTAAACCTTATATAACTAAATAAATTGAGTTGAAACCTGATTAACCTATTAAAATACACACTCATTCACACACACTCATACACTATGGCCAATTAGGTTTATTCAGTTAACCCATAGCGCATGTCTTTGGACTGTGGGTGAAACTCTACACAGAAATGCCAACTGACCCAGCCGGGACTCAACAGCGACCTTCTTGCAAGGAGGCGACTGTTCTACCCACTGCTCTACCATAAGGCCATCACATTTGCAATTTTTAGAGACAATCAAGCGGTTGCGTTGCATTGGGATAACTAATGACCAGCGCAGTGGTGATGTTCTGTTCAGACCTGGTGTCATGACACACAGTGAGAGTTCACACGCTGACAGTGTTGGCATCTGTGTTGGCAGCACCAGTCTGAACTCTCTTTCTCTCTCTGCACCCTTCTGAGACGCCACCTGGATGCATTCTCAGCTTTTGTAAGATCACTAATCACAATATGCACCAAGGAAATGCCTATTTAGAATGAACTGCAACACATTACATTAGGGCTGCATGACAGTGGAACAAATCAAACATTGCAATATATTGCTATTGATTGATAACATTTCCCAAATGATGTTTAACAGAGCAAGAAAATTTTCACAGTATTTCCTATAATATTTTTTCTTCTGGGAAAAAGTCTTATTTGTTTTATTTCGGCTACAATAAAAGCAGTTTTGAATTTTTTATAAACCATTTAAGGTCAATATTATTACCCCCTTATGCAATATTTAGCTTGGATTGTCAACAAAATACAAACCACTGTTATACAATCACTTGCCTATTTACCCTAACTTGCCTAATTCAGGAGTTCCCAAACTTTTCAGCCCGCGACCCCCCAAAATAACAATGCCAGTGACTCACGACCCCCAATATCCTCTGAGGTGGTTATGAAAACAGAAACATTGCATGCAATGGCGCACACACACCAATAGACCCAAGCATATACTTTGTTTATTTTTTAATGCATGTCAGTGCTGTAAATGTGCCATAAAGTTTAACCTGATGGTAGAAAATCAATCTGCTGCATCTGACGCTATTGCTGTGTCTTTAATATAATGTAATTACCCCATTGGTCTCAATTCAATAGAACTAGTAAGCTACTATAGTAACTATATAATACATAGGAACTATAAACGACTACTTTTTATTTTCAGTGTAGTTATGGATAAAATATGGTAATTCTTATGGTTTAATAAAAATAAACATATTTTTGGAAATCACCAGGCGAATCACCCCCCCGCGATTGTCCCGCGACCCCCACTTTGAGAACCACTGGCCTAATTAACCTAGTTAAGCCTATGAATGCCACTTAAAGCTGAATACTAATATGCTGAAAAATATCTAGTCAAATATTATGTACTTTTATTATGTACATAAATGTGGTCAAAATGTGCTTTCTACATTCAAGATTATTGCTATATCTCCTCATGCCTGTAAGACTTATAGTTTTTTTAATAAAAAATGTTAAATATAAAATTTTTATAATCCGGGCATATAAAAAAAATTATACAAGCCCCAAATTTGACCAAAAGCTGTATTAAGATGCGGTAGATTTTGTTGCTATATCTTTAAGGTTTATCAGACTTATTGTTTTACAATAAATCATTTTTAAGCATTATTTTTCTTATAATATGGCAAGCCATTTTTGACTTAAACTCCATATTTTTTACTGATATGGCAAGCCATTTTTGCATGCATCACCTTCACACTTATTAAGCATTGTATTTTCAAAAAAATACAGCAAGCCATTTTTACAATAATCAGGGGTCGCCACAACGGAATGAACCGCCAACTTATCCAGCATTTGTTTTACACAGCGAATGCCCTTCCAGCCGCAACCCAACACAAGGAATGCATAATGTTCAAGTCCAGTTTTTGACACTCATAAAGACTGTCATAGAAACATCGGGGTTGATTAAGATCACTCATATTGCCAAGAAGCTTTGATGTATCATCACTAACCTGTCAAATATCCCCATAGCAATAAAACAGTATAACCTAGCAACCATTTAAAAATAGCAATATCTCTACATCAGAACATCATAGGGACCTGGGCATTGGCTTGTTTGACTCATGCTAGCAAATAGGACTTCCTGTGTACTTTGCATGGTAACAATGATAATGGAAGCCAAGTGCTAATAACGATTAGCTACATGCTATGAATGATTATCTAAATGCAATAACATATGCTAGAAATGCCTACTAAGTATTAGCATTTGATAAAACATGTAAACGAGCATTGCCATTTAGCTACTGCTTAGCAACCACCTAACAATGCCATAAATGTTTTACTGTCTCAAGTCAACATCAAAGTTCGTCAATGAACTTTAGGTTGTAGTTTTATTTAGAACTTAAGGGCAAAAAATATAATAAATATATAAAATATAAAACACTTTAATTAAAAATATCGCTGAATAACTTGCAAAATGGGGTGGCATGGTGGCAAAGATAAAAGACATCAGTTATTAGAGATGAGTTGTTAAAAAAAAATATATGTTTGGAAGTGTGAAAAACAGTTCTGTTAAACAGAAATTGGACCAAAAATAATACAGGGGGGCTAATAATTCCGACTTCAGCTGTATATTAGGACATGAATACGATTTCACCAGAAGACTTGAATATCTCAATCTGTAAAGAATTGATCACTTTAGATGGATTGGGGTGATTCTATAGCAGGAGTGTACAGCATAAAATCTAATAAGCAATCTATTGAATAATTTAAAAAAAAACTCAAAAATAAATCACTATTAAAAAGTTTACAAACAGTACAATTTAATATTCCTGAATGGTTTTAAAATCATTATACAGTCACGGGCCACAAAAAACAAATGCAAATTATAAATTATAAAACAAACTCAAGGTTGCATATCCTGCGATGGGACTATTGCGAGGGATCACGTTGCGATCGCAATGCTGAAATGAAATATTGTGCAGTCCTACACTATATCAACATGCTTCTACAATGCTTTTTTTGCCGAAGTATCTTCATTATCTATCTATCTATCTATCTATCTATCTATCTATCTATCTATCTATCTATCTATCTATCTATCTATCTATCTATCTATCTATCTATCTATCTATCTGAATACAATTTCACCAGATTTGACTTGAATATCCCTATCTGTAAAGAACTGATCACTTTAGATTGATCAAGATGACTCTATAGTGGGAGTGTATTAGCATAAAATCTATTAAACAATCTATTGAATAATGAAAAAAAAAACTCTTTATTAACAAAAATAATCATTAAAGTTTACAGACAGCACAACTTAATACTACTGAATGTCATTATACAGTCACAGGCCTCAAAAACAAATGCAAATGATAAATAAATTGTAAAACACACTCAATGTTGCATATACTGTGATGGGACTGTTGCGAGGGATCACGTTGAGATATTAATGCTGAAATGAAATATTGTGCAGTCCTACACTATATCAACATGCTTCTACAATGCTTTTGCCATAGATAGATAGATAGATAGAGACTGACTATCTATCTATCTATCTATCTATCTATCTATCTATCTATCTATCTATCTATCTATCTATCTATCTGACATTTACAAACTCAAATCATATTGTTATTGTTACTCACCCTAAAAGAAACCAGCTGTTGGTCTGTGGATCCACTTTAGAGAGGGCAGGTCCGCGCGAGGGAAGCCCAAGAGAGTTGAGTCGTCCTGGGCAGCCATGAGCTGGGGAACAGGGGTCTGTGGCTGGAGGTTTCTGAAGGAGTCATCCTCCGAGAGTTGTTGAGAAACAGAGGAGTTGTGCGGGAGAGACGGATCAGATGCACTTGAGTGGGAAGAGAGAGGAGAACTGAGACGAGGAGGAAAGCGAGCTGAATCCTGGAGAAGAATCGTGCTCACCTCTCTCTCTCTTGCTCTCTCTCTCTCTCTCTCTCTACTGCAGAAGCTCTCTATAATCACAGTAATACAAGCAGACTGACTCACTGGTGAAACTCAGCACTCGCGCTCTCTCTCGCTCTCTCTCTCGCTTGCTCGCTCTCTCTCTCTCCCTCACACACACACACACACACATCTTTTCTCTCCACATTTGACTTCAGTTCAGACATTTTGTGATCACTACTTTTGTATGCCATAATTTTATTTAAAAAATATATTTCTGTCTGTCTATCAGTCCGTCTCTATCCATCCATCCATCCATCCATCTTTGTTACTCTGTCTATCTATCATTGTATCCATCCATTTATCCATCCATCCATCCATCCATCCATCTATCTATCTATCTATCTATCTATCTATCTATCTATCTATCTATCTATCTATCTATCTATCTATCTATCTATCTATCTATCTATCTATCTATCATTGTATCCATCCATCCGTCCGTCCGTCCGTCCGTCCGTCCGTCCGTCTGTCTGTCTGTCTGTCTGTCTATCTATCTATCTATCTATCTATCTATCTATCTATCTATCCATCCAATCACTATTTTGTCCATCTATCCATCTGATGCTCTATCCCTTTTTAGTTTCTCTATCTGTCTGTTTGTCAGTTCATCTTAAGTGGTTTAATGGATCACAAATCTCATGGTTCAGATCATGTTATGGTTTTTTAGTCATGGATCGAACCATTTTTCGATCATTGTATATAGTTGTATATAGCAATATACCAGGACATACACTTGTTAATTTGTATATTTGCATTCACTATTTGCTTAAAATCTTTTTAAATATATTTGCTATCATTTTTTTTGTCTTGTCTCTGTAATTCTGTTGCACTGTAGAAGCTCTGTCATGAAAACAAACTCCTTGTATGTGTGAACATACCTGGCAGTAAAGCTCTTTTGATTCTGATTCTGATCATTCGGATCAGCCAAAAAGAGGAGGAGACAAATGCAATTTGCTTTCCATTTATTACAAATACACTACTGCAAGAAACTTTTGGTGTCAACAACCAACTTAGAACCTGTAATTTTATTACAGTTTTTCTCAGTAGCTTTGGTGCATTTCTTACAACACTATTTACATTTGCACAACAGTTAATGGATTTCGCAAAACAATTAGTACAAACTGCTAAACCTAGTTGATAACCTGCAAAAGCGTGTCACTTGCTCAAAATGGAGAGCTCATTCCTCAAAAGCAAGTATTAATGTCAATGAAAGTGTCAGTGTCATCAAGAAGAAAAGTCCTGACACTATTGTTTATGAACAAGATAGTCAAATGGCTTTGTCAGGTTTTCATTATGACAGTTTACTCTGTAAATGATTTCCAATGCAAAAAAGTCAGATTTTGGTGAAACTTCCTAAAAAATGCTTAAGACATCACTATATACTGTTTGCACAGCCATTTGAAAACTACAGTAAAGTCAGACATCACTGCATTTATTAAGGTATCTGAGTACAAGACACTGAATGTGTATGTCTTACATTTTACTGCATTTGCTTGTTGCAATTCACAGCATTGTGCAAAAGAATAAATACATCCTTTTTTTCAACAAACATAAACTTCCTGTGGGTAGAGCTGTGCACAACTGTAAACAATATTGCAGAACATATAGGAACTGAACTTACAACATACACAGGTCTCTAAATCATTCATGAAATTGTTCATTTTAGAAGACATTTTCAGGAAAAAAATAGATTTACTTTCTTTAAAATAAATTTAGCTTGACAGATTTCGACAGCTAGTTCAACATTTGTGCATGTAATGACCCAAGTAATGAAATGAGGACTATTAGTTTATATGGAGTGACTATTCAGCATTCACAAGTTTAGTTCATTTTGACTGACATGACATAAGCAGATGATAATGTTATAAATAGCAGAGAGTTGTATGAAAGCAATTGATGCATGTCCAAAAGCATTCACAATTTGTTGGAAGGAATGAGAAACTGCTACTATGGTCTGCACAAATAACTAACTGTTTTAAGAAATGCATTAACTGTTGTGCAAATGTTAATAGTGTTGTGAGAAATGCACCAAAGCCCCTGAGAAAAACTGTAAAAATAAAATGAAGAAATAATCAGCTGAATAAAAGTAATAAGTAACATATTCAGTACTGTGAAAAATTCACTGTTACTACTACTGTTGCTAATAACGCTAAATGTAGAAATCTAACATTATCATTTGTACAACCCATACTTACTTTTAGTGTCATTTTCAAGAGATCCCGATCTTTTAATAATTAATCATGCAGCTTAAACTGAATGCATTGACGCAGGCTAAAAAAGCAGTGACATAAAACACGTTTAATGAAACCCACCACATCTATCCATCCATTATCCATCCATTATCCATCCTTCCATCTATCATCTATATATCCATCCATTCATCCATCCATCCATCCATCCATCTATCTATCTATCTATCTATCTATCTATCTATCTATCTATCTATCTATCTATCTATCTATCTATCCATCTATTTATCCATACATCTATCTATCTGTCTGTCTATCATCCATCTATCTATCCATCCATCCATCCATCCATCTATCCTTCCATCCATCCATCTATCATCTATCTATCCATCCATCCATTATCCATCCTTCTATCCATCCATCTATCATCTATATATTCATCCATTCATCCATTCATCCATCCATCTATCTACCCATCTATCCATCTATCTATCTATCTATCTATCTATCTATCTATCTATCTATCTATCTATCTATCTATCCATCCATCCATCCATTCATCCATCCATCCATCCATCCATCTATCTATCTATCTATCTATCTATCTATCTATCTATCTATCTATCTATCTATCTATCTATCTATCTATCTATCTATCTATCTATCTATCTATCTATCCATCAACCGTCTATCTGTCTGTCATCCATCTATCTATTTATCTATCTATCTATCTATCTATCTATCTATCTATCTATCTATCTATCTATCTATCTATCTATCTATCTATCTATCTATCTATCTATCTATCTATCTATCTATCTATCTATCTATCTATCTATCTATCTATCTATCTATCTATCTATCTATCTATCCTTCCATTCATCCATCTCCTCTCCCCCTTAAAAAATAAAATCAGACAAACGAACGCAAGAGTAAATGATCTCACCATTTAAATGAATATTAATTTCTGAACTGCCAGGACATTAAATGATAGGACAGCAGCATCTCCTCCCTCCCTCCACCAAGCTCAGCCTTTGACAAACTGTAAAGCGACTTCATAAGTTTCTCGTTTCATCCTTCCTGACTCGTGAATAAAGCAGCCTTTCTGCCATTTACAGAGGCGCATCTGGAATATTTTCATTCATGACAAACTCGACTGCGCAAACGAACGTGTTCATTAGCTGCTGTTGGCACAACCATCAGGAAACCTTTCGGTATGAATTC